AGATTGAGACAGAGGGCGAGAGGGAGAGGAAGAGAAGGAGAGAGAGGTTGAGAGAAAGTTAGAGAGGGAGAGATTGAGAGAGAGATTGAGAAAGAGGGAGAGAGAGTGAAAGAGAGTGAGAGTGAGAGGGACAGAGAGAAAGGGGGGGAGAGAGAGAGAGACAGAGGGAGAGGAGTGGGCAGGGGCAATTGTGGGATGCTTTGCCCGCAGCCCAAGACCTCCACCCTTCCTTAGGGTGGTGGGTCTCGAAAACCTTCTGGCCAGATCCACAGAAGGCGAGCGAGACAGTCCCTGACCGAGGAGTCCTCTTTAGGAGGGTCAGTCCCCCCCTCCCCACGGATAGGCACGATGCCCCTCTGGTGATGACGGAGGTCTCCTGCTGTCCTCACCACTCCGCCCTCGCGCTCCCTCCTTGCTCTCCCCTGCCAGGTGGACGCTGCATCGATCCGTCGGAATGCCCTTGCTTCTGGGAGGGTGCCTTGTTCCCGCTGGGGGCGCTGGTGACGCAGGAGTGCCGGAACTGGTAAGGCGGTAGGGTTGTTGGAGGAGGGCCCCTCAACACAGGGGAGGGGGCAGCCCCGTTTGCGTTCCATCCAGATTTCGGCCCTCCTTCCTTCCCTCCTTTTCTCCCTATCTCCTTCTTTTATTTCTTCTTCCCCATCTCCTTCCTCCTTTTTCTTCCTTCCTTCCTTCCTTCTTTCCTCCCTCCCACCTTTCCTTCCTATCTCCTTCTTTTGTTTCTTCCTCCCCATCTTCTTCCTTCCCTTTCCTTTTCCTTCCTTCCTTCCTTCCTCCTTCCTTTCCTTCCTCTCTCCTTCATTTCTTCCTCCCCATCTCCTTCCTTTTCTTTCTTTCCTTCCTTCCTTCCTTCCTTCTTCCCTCCTTTCCTTCCTATCTCCTTCTTTCATTTCTTCCTCCCCATCTCCTTCCTCCTTTTCTTTCTTTCCTTTCTTTCTTCCTTCCTTCCTTCTTTCTTTCTTCTCTCCCTCCCTCCCTCCCTCCCTCCTTTCCTTCCTATCTCCTTCTTTCGTTTCTTCCTCCTCGTTTCCTTCTTTCCTCCTTTCCTTTTCTTTCCTTTTTCCTTCCTTCCTTCCTTCCTTCCTTCCTTCCTTCCTCTCTCCTTCATTTCTTCCTCCCCATTCTTCCTTTTCTTTCCTTCCTTCCCTCCTTTTCTCCCTATCTCCTTTTATTTCTTCCTCCCCATCTCCTTCCTCCTTTTTCTTCCTTCCTTCTTTCTTTCTTTCTTCCCTCCCTCCCTCCTTTCCTTCTATCTCCTTCTTTCGTTTCTTCCTCCTCATTTCCTTCTTTCCTCCTTTCCTTTTCTTTCCTTTTTCCTTCCTTCCTTCCTTCCTCCCTCCTTTCCTTCCTCTCTCCTTCATTTCTCCCTCCCCATCTCCTTCTTCCTTTTCTTTCCTTCCTTCCTTCTTCCCTCCTTTCCTTCCTATCTCCTTCTTTCATTTCTTCCTCCCCATCTCCTTCCTCCTTTTCTTTCTTTCCTTCCTTCCTTCCTTCCTTCCTTCCTTCCTTCCTTCCTTCTTTCTTTCTTTCTTTCTTTCTTTCTTCCCTCCCTCCCTCCTTTCCTTCCTATCTCCTTCTTTCGTTTCTTCCTCCCCATCTCCTTCCTTCCTTCCATTCCTTTTCTTCCTTCCTTCTTCCGTTCACCCATCCTGGAAAGTGAAATGAGGACCCAGATGGTTGGGGGCAAGAGGCTGACTCTGTAAATCGCTCAGAGAGGGCGGTAAAAGCACTCGGAAGCAGTATATGTCTAAGTGCTGCTGCTAGTGCTATTATGGAGGATTTGATAGTCCCAGCTCGGGCTATTTGTGCCTCCCCCTTGATGCAACGATGCTCTGTCCCCTCCCTCCAGCTCATGTGAGGCAGGCCTGTGGCAGTGCACCGCCCCTCTGGAGACTTGCGGTGCCCCCTCCCACTGCGCCGAGACGGAGTTTGCTTGCCACGCCGGCGGGCGCTGCGTCCCGAAGGCCTGGGTTTGTGACAACGAAGACGATTGTCGGGACGGTTCGGATGAGCTCTGCCCCTCGAGCTGCGGGCCGGACCAGTACCGGTGTGCCAGCGGGCAGTGCATCCCCTGGGGTTACCGCTGTGATGGCACCACAGACTGCGCTGACCGCTCAGACGAAAAGGACTGCCCCTCGCCCGGCTGCTCGCCGCAGGAGTTCCGGTGCGGCAACGGCCGCTGCATCCCACGCCGGGACCGCTGTGACGGGGAGCTGGATTGTGGCTTTGCTGACCCCTCGGACGAGGCAGGTGAGGTTACGCTGGGAGTCCGAAGGGGCGGCCAGGAGGAAGAGGGCCGAAGCAGGTAGGGAAAGAGGGTGTCGGTTGGTGTCTCCTGTCTACACAAAATATCCCGAGGCCCTTGAGGAAAGGCTCCAGAGCGTCCGTGCCCGTATTGTTGGTGTTCCTGGATTCTGAGGTAATACAGGTCATCCTCGACTTACAACAGTTTGGTTGAGTGACCGTTCAGAGGTACAACGGCATCGACAAAAGTGACTTAGGTCCGTTTTTCACACTTACAACCTTTGCGGCATCACCGTCATCACGAGATCAAAATTTGGATGCTCGGCCACTGACTCGTATTTGTGACAGTTCAAGGGTCATAGGTGACTTTCTGACAAGCAAAGTCAATGGAGAAGCCAGATTCGTTTAGCGACGGTGCAACTCTCCCAAAGATGCTTTTTTTTCACGAGGCAACTCGACTTCCTTGTTTTTCCTTTGAAGCCTGTTTCGCTTCTCATCCCAGAAGCTTCTTCAGCTCTGACTGGATGGTGGGGAATGGAAGGATTTATACTCCTTGCAGACAGCCAGTCATTTGCCTTCTTTTAGAGGGTCGTTGAGCCCACTTGGAGGTTTATCTGTGTCCTCAGGGTCACCTGAGGGGTGCAAATGGGTGTGGAGCTTCACCTCAGTGGTAAAAATGGGTGTGGAGTGCAGCCCATTTGCACCACTCAGGTGACCCAGAGGACACAGATAAACCTCCAAGTGGCCTCAGCGGCGCTCTAAAAGAAGGCAAATGACCAGCCGTCTGCAAGGAGTATAAATCCTTCCATTCCCCCACCATCCAGTCAGAGTTTGGTTTTTGCTCTTGAAGAAGTTTCCCTTCTCATCCAAGAAGCTTCTTCAGCTCTGACTGGATGGTGGGGGAATGGAAGGATTTATGCGCCTTGCAGACCGCTGGTCATTTGCATCCTTTTAGAGAGTCGTTGAGGCCACTTGGCAGTTTACCTGTGTCCTTAAGGTCACCTGAGTGGTGCAAATGGGTGGTCTGTCTGTCTCCAGTCTACAACACTGTCCTTTCAGCGTTTCCAAGAAGGCTCCACACCCATTTGCACCGCTCAGGTGATCCGGAGGACACAGATAAACTTCCAAGTGGCCTCAACGACTCTCTAAAAGCATGCAAATGACCAACTGTCAGCAAGCAGTATAGATCCTCCCATTCCTCACCATCCAGTCAGAGCTGAAGAAGCTTCTGGGATGAGAAGCGAAATATCTTCAAAGAATAATAAGAAAGTCCCACCAAGACACAGATAAGCATACAAGTGGCTTCAACGCCTCTCGAAAAGGATGCAAATGACCAGCTGTTGGCAAGGAGTTTAGATCCTTCCATCCTTCACCATCCAGTCAGAGCTGAAGAAGCTTCTGGGATGAGAAGCGAAACATCTTCAAAGAACAATAAGAAAGTCCCACCAGGACACAGATAAGCCTCCAAGTGGCCTCAACGCCCCTCTAAAAGAAGACAAATGACCAGCAGTCTGCAAAGAGTATAAATCCTTCCATTCCCCACCATCCAGTCAGAGCTGAAGAAGCTTCTTGGATGGGAAGGGAAACGTCTTCAAAGGAAAAACAAAAAAGTCCAACGGCTTCTTGAAAAGGTACCTTGGGAGAACCATGACCCGGATGACAGAGAACTTCTGTGGACAGCTGTGTGACTAATTTAACGGATGCAGTGGTTGGCTGAACAGCCGTGGCAAGAAAGATCACGGAATGGGGTAAAACTCCTTGAACCGCTGTCTCACTTAGCAACGGAAGTGGGCTCAATAGCGGTCGTAAGTCGAGGACTCCCGGTATCTCCTTGTATCTCTGGATCGAACTGGAGACGACGGAGACACGGCAACTAACAGGGCAGATGCAGTCCTGAGGGGAGACCCCGGCTGGCCCTTGTGGAAAAAGGGGGAGGATGGAGGAGAGACTACCCTTCCCGCAGAAAACTAACATGACTGTCAGGCGTTCATTGATTCTTTGCAGCTTGGTGGCCCGGCTGGAGGCAGGAAAAGGGGAACTGGGCTAGACGAGCGGCAGGCTGCCGTGCACGCGAGTCAAGCTTGTGCAGCCCCATTGGGGACCCCTGTTCTATGTAATCCGAATGAATTAAAAAAAATGTGGGGAGCCGGCTCTGTTTTGCTACCCTCCCCTCTTCAAAAAACCCAGCTCCTCTCCCTTGCCCCTGTTACAGATTGTGGACCAGCCTGCGGGTTGAACGAGTTCCGTTGTGCGGCTGGGCACTGCTTGTCGTACCTACACCGCTGTGACGGGCACGACGACTGTGGCGATTTTAGTGATGAACGGGGCTGCGTCTGCCATCCTGGGGAGTTGCAGTGCCCGAGTGGTCGGTGCCTTCCCAAAGCTCTGATTTGCGACGGCCGGCAGGACTGTCCCTCGGGCCTGGACGAGGCTTTCTGCCCAGGTGGGTAAATGCTTGCGTTTAATATGTGTGTGATGAATTTATTCATTAAGGAGCCAGCTTGGTGTCGTGGTTAAGGTTACTGCTTAGAAACTAGAAGGCTGCGAGTTCTAGTCCTGCCTTAAGCACGAAAACTGGTTAGGTGACTTTGAGCCAATCCTAGGAGACGGTGAATTGTACTCCCACCTTAGGCGTGAAAGCTAGGTGGGCGACTTTGGGCCAATCATCAGAAGACTGCGAGTTCTAGTCCCGCCTTAGCATGAAAGCCCACTAGGTGCCTTTGTGGCAATCACCAGGAGACGGCGAGTTCTAGTCCCTCTTTAGGCATGAAAACCAGCTGAGTGCCTTTGGGCCAATCACCAGGAGGCGGTGATTGGCCCAACCACGACATTGATCTGAGAGAGATCCAGGATCCACCAGGTCAACCAGACCAGATGAAGAACCACGACAGATCTAGTTTGATTTTTTTGTCCATCAGTAAGTCATGTCAAGTGTTGGATAAGTCTAGATAAGTCATCCCGAAATGTCTAGAGCCTTTGTTCTACCATCTTACTAAAGGTGAGTGTTGGGGTTCTCTTCTCTTACTCAAGTATTTTTAGAATAGAATAGAGTAGAGCTGGAAGGGACTTTGGAGGTCTTCTAGTCCAGCCCCCTGCTCAAGCAGGAGAACTATACCATCTCAGACAAGTAACTGTCACTAATAGTCTCTTCTTTAAAATCTCCAGTGATGGAACGCCCACGATTTCTGGTGGCAAGCTGTTCCACTGGTTGATTGTCCTCCCTGTCAGGAAGTTTCTCCTTAATTCCAGGTTGCTTCTCTCTTTGGTCAGTTTCCAACCATTGTTTCTCGTCGTGCCCTCTGGTGCTTTGGTGAATAATGTGACCCCCTCTTCTTTGGGGCAGCCCCCCAGATACTGGAACACTTTAATTTCAGCAAGTATCTAGAGCAGGGAGATGTTCTCCTAAATGATAGTCTAGTTTTTAGCTCTCTCGCCCTGGTTGTGTTTCCCATCTCGATACAGGTCCAGTGATGTGCGCTCCGGGCCAGCTGCCTTGTCCAAACGCCACTTGTGTGAGCCGTACGCAGGTGTGTGATGGTGTGCACGACTGTGAAGATGGCGCCGATGAGGACCCTGCTCGGTGTCCGGGGATACAGACCACACCTCTTGTGCCCACCGCTACACCAGCTTTCTCTGGAACCCATCATCCTGTCATCAACAGAACTCTGGGTAAGCAGCCTCAAGAGATCTGTAGATCCTCCGTCTGGACTTCGGAACGAGGAGCTGTCAGCCTTTAAGCCGTCAATCAACTTACCCGATACAGGTAGTCCTAATCGTACGACCACAGTTGAGCCGAAAAACGTCCGTCACTAAGACGGAGAATTGTTAAGTGACTTTTGCCCCATTTTATGACCTTTCTTGCCCCCGTGGTTAAGAGAATCACTGCACGTCACAAGTCCCGACTGGTGAACCCAACAAAAGGATTCCTCGACTGCGGTTGTTAAGTCAGTTACACGGCTGTCAAGTGAATCTGGGATTCTGCTCTTCCCTTCTCCGCAGGACCACCCTGCGGGCGATACGAATTCCACTGCCACAGCGGAGAGTGCCAGCCGCGGGGCTGGGTGTGCGACAACGAAGCTGATTGCCTGGACGGCAGCGACGAGTTACACTGCAACCGCACGTGCGAACTGGACCATTTCCCCTGTGCCCGCGGGGCCGAGTGCATCCACTACCAGCAGCTCTGTGACGGCATCCCGCACTGCCAGGACCAGTCCGACGAGAGCATTGACACCTGTGGTGAGTGGGTGCTACTCCTGGTTGCACCCAGGATCGGCGTTTCTCCATTTCTCTAGAGCAGGGGTGTCAAATGCTGGCCCACGGGCCGAACGCACCACCAGGAATCCGTGCCCACCCCATTGCTGGCAATGGGGAAAAAGCTTCGATACGTTGCGCGACGTCACGCGACGTCATGAGTTTGACATGTCTGCTCTAGAGTCATTTTCTCAGTCTCGTGCCCAAGCAAAAATGTCAAGACACAATAAATGTGGACGTGACAAATGCCCAGTTATACTCAGATGCTGCATTTGCAGAATGGGACAACTCGTCTCCTCAGCCGACTTGCCCCGGCCGATTGTCCGCAGACAATTCGCCGTGGGATAATTCAATGCGGCATAACTCAAAAGAGGGACAAGTGAATTTGCAGCTCACCCCGGTCTTGAGGACAGCTTACCTGAGAAGGTTCAAGCCTAAAGCAAGACAATGCCCGCTGCAATTCGCTCATCCCTCTCTTGAGTGATCCGCCGCTGAATTGTCCCACAGCGAGTTGTCCCCGTGGCAAGTTGACTGCGGCGAGTTATCCTGTGGTGAATTGGCTGGGACGACTCGTCCGGGGTGAGTCGTTCTAGATTCGCTGCGTTTGATTGTGCAAGATGGCATTTGTCGAGCCGAAAAGCGAACCCTGCACCTGTGGGAAAAACACTACGATAATGTTGATGATGATGATGGTGGTGGTGGTGGCGACGGTGACGACTCTTCTTTCTCTCGGAGGCAGGCTCCACGCAGATCCCCCCTTGCCCCGGGTTCTTCATCTGCAATGACCGGATGTGCATCAACGTATCCCGTGTTTGCGACGGCTCGCCCGACTGCTCCCAGGGAGAAGACGAGCTCGCCTGCGGTAAGGAAGGGAGCGATGTGCAGCAGAAGTCGATTTTTGGAAAAGGGTGCAAAAGCAGCAAGGGAAACCAGGAAGGAATCGATACCTGGGTGGGGGCACTTTAAATTTCCAATCATTCCCCCCCCCTCCCATTTGCCCTTTCTACAGATTTAACTCAATTTGAATAATCAAAATAGGTTCCACCTGTCCTCAATGTATGGCTGGTTGCTACCTGGGGGCGGTACTTACAACCTGGATTTGACGTTTTGACAGTCGGGACACACACACACACACACACACACACTGTGGTCACATGATTGCAGGCCAAGCATTGGCAACTGGTCTGCATTTGTGCCCGTTTGCAGCATCCCGCAATCGCCCGATATTGCGTGCAATCGTAGAGTACCTTTACATGACCGTACGCCATCGCACCACACGAAAACACATCAAAAATACCTGAGGCGTTCTCCTCTCCTCGCGCAACATGTCTATAAGCAATTATAAGCTTTCCCGTCGACATGCGATAAAAATGCGGTGTTACATAAAAAAATGCTCCCGATGTGGAAATGTATTTATCTGTCAATCCAATCGACGCGGCATCGGTTCGCTGTATTAAAAAAAAAAGCAGTCAACAGGTAAGCCCAAAGATATAATAATCTTGCAAGCCCTCTGTTAAATGTCTTTTATTGCATTTAACATGCAAGCAAATGGATGCCTTTTGTGCTGGCTCACTCACTCACTCACACACACACATAACTGTGGTTTAGTGAGTGTTTAATATTCCCCAGCAATTTCCTTCACCAAAAATTCAGAACTGTCCCAATTAAGTCCAGCCACGAGTAGGCCAAGGTTAGTCCACAGAGCAATGGACTTCTGGTCCAGAGGTCCCCAACCTGTGGGCCACAGCCCACTACCAGGCCGCAGTCTATTGGCCACTGGGCCACGTGACTGGATGGCTGGTTCGCAAGGCCCGGTGCGCACGAGCGCTCGCAGCCCCACTAGCGTGAGGGCTTGAGGTCCCACTTCTGCAAGCAATGGGTGTGTCATGGTTCCGACAGATGAAACTCTTCAAAAGAACTTCGAGGCATTGTTTAACCTTGAAGAATCTTTATTTTGAGTAGCATAATATCGGCACGGCATAATCGAAACCAAAAGATGAATTCTCCTCCCCTGGGAACAAAGTATCAAACCACAATTCCCTCCTCCAATTAACAGTCATAAATCACATTCCCCAATTAGCTCGAAGCGTGGGCTTCCTCTCCAGTTCTCCAGCCCGCCAAGTCTTTATCAGCTCTGGTTACAATAACCTTGATTCTCACGCTAGGTTTTGTGTTGTTATGTCTAGCTGGACTCTCGTTCACATCCCCCCCTCCCAGCATCATCTAACTCTAAAAGCAACGGGTAAAAGATGGCTACATTTCCCTCTGTTGTCAATGCAAAAACATCCGATGTTAGCAGCGTTGACAGGGTATTTGTGCGTGTGCACGCACATCCATTTACCCCTCTCACAAAACCATCCCTTCTTTCCCCCCTCCCCTTGCTCTGGGCTGCCAATCCTGAAAGGTCGAGGCAATTCTGTACTAGTCCACAAAGCGCCTGACGTTTGCTCGAACCAAATAACTCCGCCAGGCAAAACTTAAATCCGCACGCAAGAAAAGTTCAGAGCTTTCGACGCGTAGTTCCAAACACGGCGTCAGTCCAGAGTGAAGCAGGAATCACAATGATCAAACACACAGCTGGAAAACCAATACGTTGTTCCCAGCGATTCCCGCGGCTGGGATAAATAGCTAGCTTTCCCGTGCAGCCCATCAGTAAAGGCGAAGCTTTCTCCTCTTGAGTAGTCTGGCTGACCTCCGCTGCTCCTGCCCTTTCTCTGCCCGGCGCGTTCTCAGATCAGGTGCAGAAGGCAGTTCCTCCTCCTCCTGCTCCTCTTCGCTGGTTGTCTGTTCCTGAAAGCTTTCCCCTGCTGAAGCCGCTTCCGAATCTGTTTCGGACAGCCGTTCAGAGCTGTCGATCAACCCGGTTCCCGACGTGCCGGGAATGGGAGGAATCTGGGGAGTCCCCCAAGGGAGACATCACACCTCTTGAGTGATGGGTGGGGAGTGGATGATGGGTGGGGCGGTACAGCTGGTTCTGACGGCTGCTGATTCTCACCCCCACAGAAATCCCGGCGGCTCCACCAGGCGGAAGGAATCAGACGGTCGGACCGTGTCCGGAATATTCCTGCGGCGACGGCACGTGTATCGCCTTTAAACAGGTGCAATGAGGAATCGGGTCCTCGTTCCTTCTCGTCTTCCTTGTCGCCATCCTTATCCTATCATTGCTCTTTCATTCCTTTATTTCACTGATTCTGACTACGTAGCCCTGGAGGGATTAGAGGAATCTATAATAATAATAACACAACGATGATAACACGGGTAGTCCTCCATTTACAATCCTTCGTTTAGCGACTGTTTGAAGCTACAACGGCACAGAAAAAGGTTACTTAGGACCATTTTCCACACTTGCACCATCCCTGTGGTAACACGGTCAAAATTCAGACTGCTTGGTGACTGACTCACATTTATGACGGTCGCAGTGTGACGTGATCCTCTTTTTGCGACCTTTTAACAAGCACCAGGCGAGCGCGTGAATGTAGCTCCACTTGTGCATGCGACAGGTGGGTGAGTGCGTGCATGCAGCTCCATTTGTATCAGCGGTGGACGTGCTTGCACAAATGAAGCTGTGCATGTGCGCTTGCCCGCCTGCTGTGTGTGCAAGCGGAGCTGCACATGCACCTCTCACCCGCTGCTCGGGCAGAACCATCCTCTCTCCCACCCCGCCGATCCGGAAAGCTGGAAAGGTTGGAGACTGCTGGACTAGATGACCTCCGGGGTTCCTTTCAACTCTGTGATTCTGTTATTCCTAACCGATTTGAGGTTGTCCTTGGGGGCAGAAAGGGGATCATAATCTACTCCAGTGGGACACCCGTTCTTCCTATTTTCGGAGACCTCTCATGCCATGTCTGGTTGCGCGTCCTTGCAGGTGTGCAACGGTCTGGCCAATTGTGCGGATGGCACGGAGGTTTCTGGTTGGCTGCCCTCTGATGAGCGGGATTGTGGCCTCTGGACCCCGTGGGCACCTTGGAGCATCTGTAGCCGCTCGTGTGGGACGGGTCTCCAGATCCGCCGGAGGAGCTGCACGCGGCGAGCGGACGACGTTCTCCGTCACTGCCTCGGAGAGGAAACCCAGGCCCAGCAGTGCTTCCTAGTGGCTTGTCCCGGTAAGAGGGGGGGGCTTTGGGATCCTTGCCTCCTTTTAGCATCTTGGACTCCATTCATCCGTTCAACCTCATTTGGTCCTGACCTAGCTTTGTTCGCAGCCGTGCCGTTTCCTCCGTAGCTCCTGACATGTTGGACCGAGGAGACGCTACATTTTCAGGAACCCTTCCTCCTAGGCAGCCCCTAATTTTTCTATCTTACCCCAAACAGTTGATGGCCAGTGGCGTGAATGGGCCACGTGGTCCAACTGCACCGAGGATTGCCGTGGAGTGGTGGTGCGTCACCGGGAATGCCTCCCCTCTCAGAACGGAGGCCGTCATTGTACCGAAGGGCTGGACGGATCGGCTGCTTCGATAGAGATCCGTAAGTCAGCTGGGGATGATGGGTGAAAGGAAGATCTGGCCAGTCCCCACGGAACAAGCAACGGATGGCCAGACGGGATAATCACTACACGTAGTCCTCCCCTTACAATCATTCATTTAGTGACCGTTCGAAGTTACAACGGCACTGAAAAAAGTGACTTAGGACCGTTTTTCGCACACAGCCTCCCTGTGGTCACATGATCAAAATTTGGACGCTTGAAAACTGACTCGTATTTATGACAGTCGCAGTGTCCTTTGGTCACGTGATCCTCTTTTGCGACCTTCTGACAAGCAACGTCAGTGGGGAAGCCCGATTTACTTCACAATGGTGCAACTAACCCAGGGGTGTCAAACTCAATTTCATTGAGGGACACATTAGCATTATAGTTGCCCTCAAGTACCCAGCCCAGACCTTAAGCTTCCAGAGGCCCGGAACCCCGCAGCCCAGCTCAGCACAGCTCCGCTTCCCTGAGCAGTGCCCGGCCGTGCTTACCTCCTCCTCGTGGCGGCTGCTGCTATGCTCACTCTTGTTGGCCAGATTGCTCATGGTGGGTGCAGGAGAGCAGCGGGTGTGTGGGTGTGAGGCTCATGGGTGCTTTTCTGAGGTGGCTGCCCAGCTCAGCACAGCTCCGCTTCCCTGAGCAGTGCCCGGCCGTGCTTACCTCCTCCTCGTGGCGGCTGCTGCTATGCTCACTCTTGTTGGCCAGATTGCTCATGGTGGGTGCAGGAGAGCAGCGGGTGTGTGGGTGTGAGGCTCATGGGTGCTTTTCTGAGGTGGCTGCTCCACCTGCCGGGCTGCGCTTTGGGCTTGCGGACTTCCTGGGCTGGAGGAGAGTGGTGAGGCGGTGGGGCTACTGCTGGACAGGGCTGCTGCTGCTGCTGATGGTACCGCCACCGTGGGGTGAGGCAAGGCGAGGCAGGTGGTGGGGCAGGGGTGGCCTGGCTACAGGGCGCCGAGATGCGCAAGTGCGGTGCAGGTGGGGTGGGGTGGGGCCGACCGCTGTTTAGGCTCACATCCAGTTGGCCGTCACTGCCGGACAATGTGCGGCCAAGTCACCAACCAGCTGCAGCTGCTCCCAGGCACTGCCAGCCCCCGCGTGCTCACCAGCTCCTGTGCATGTGCCCAGGGGGAGCACCCGGTCAGGCTGGGGCAGGCCAGAGCCAAGGTGGTGGGGCCCGGCCCCTCACCATCTCCAGGGTGGCCCCGCGGGCCAGATCTAAACACATCACGGGCCAGATCTGGCCCATGGGCCTTGAGTTTGACATGTCTGGACTAACCTAAGAAGGCAGCAATTCCTTAACAACTGCGGCGAGTTGTCGTCCAACGGGGCAAAACGCACTTAACAAACGTCTCACTTAGTGACAGAAATTTGGGTCTCAGTTGTAGTCGTAAGTCGAGGACTACCGGTACTGGGCATTCATTTTTGCCCTGCAGAACGACAGGACGATCCTCCACGGTGAGGCCGAGCTCTTCCTGGCGCAGATATCGGTCGGAAAGTAGATAGAGCGTTCAGCTTCTTCTCTCCGCAGAGTTGTGTCAACGTGAGGACTGTCTCAATGCATCCACTTGCCCGGGGGAGCTGGTGAGCCAGAAGTGCGCCCCCTGTCCCACCTCCTGCACCGAGCTCTCCAGCCGTACAAGATGCCGGAAGGACAGGCCCTGCCGGCCAGGTAGGGGCGGCTGAATCTCTGTGGGGTTGCTCAATATGAGCTTCGGTGTCCATCCGCTGGACTCAGGCGTCCAGAGAATCGGTCTGGGTAGATCCTCTGCCCATTTGTCCTGCTGGAGGAAGGGAGTTGGACAAGAAGACCTCAGAGGTCCCTCCCAACTGTGTTATTTTGTTATTCTGCTGTTCTGTTGTTCTGCTATTCTGTAGTTACTCTGCTATCCTGTTATTCTGTTATTCTACCATTCTGTTATTCTGCTCTCCTGTTAATCTGCTATTCTCTAATTGTGCTATTTTGTTATTGTGCTATTCTGTTATTCTATCATACTGCTATTCTGTCATTCTGTCATTCTGCTATTCTGTGATTCTGTTATTTTATTCTGTTATTCTGTTCTATTTTGTTATTCTGCTATTCTGTTATTCTGTTATTCTAGTATTCCGTTATTCTATCTTTCTGCTATTCTGTCATTCTGCTCTTCTGTTATTCTGCTATTCTGCCATTGTACTATTTTGTTATTCTGCTATTCTGTTATTTTATTATTCTGGTATTTTGATATTCCGTTATTCTGATAATCTGCTATTCTGTTATTCTGCTATTCTGTTATTCTGCTATTCTGTTATTCTACTATTCTGTTATTCTATCATTCTGC